TGAGTCTCATCTAGATGACCTTCCTGTGGTACGGTATGGAAGACCACACTGGTTGGTCTTTCCTGTAGGATGGTGGCACACAGTTCAGTGGAAGGGAATCAAGGCACAGAAGAACCCCAAGCGAGGACAGAAGCCTCCCAATCCCAAAGGTCCAGGCCCAGCCAACAGGCAGCGGTTATCCAGACACATTTCAGGCCCTTCAACTATGCCAGAGACTTCAAGACCATCGCAAAGACCACCTCAATGCTAGAGGAGAGTGGCTTCTATTGGGGTCCCATGACTGTGGAGGAAGCGCATCAGAAGCTGAAGAAAGAGCCAGTCGGAACTTTCCTGATCCGGGACAGTCGTCAGAGCGACATATTCTTTACACTGAGTTACACAGCACAAAACGGTCCCGTCAGCGTCCGGATTACCTTCAAGAATTCCAAATTCAGTCTGACTGGCAGCAAGCAATCTTTTGACTGTCTTTTCAAACTGCTGGAGCACTACATCAGTTCCCCGAAGAAGGGTCTCGTCAGGCCCTACAGGAAAGAACCGGTGCAGTCCCTGCAGCAGCTGTGCCGCAGACGGATTATCGAAACATGCGGCGGAAAAGACATCGACCGCATCCCTGTGCACCCGATCCTCAAAGGCTTCCTCCATGCCTTCCCTCATCCGCTATGAAGACGAGACTCATTGCATTAAAGCACTGCTGGAATATTCTGGAGATACTTGATGGACTCCTCGTGGTCCTGCTCTGTTTTAGGACGCAGGAATCATACTGTAGCACATTTTGGAATATCATTCTTGAACACTGCACAATGAAAGTTTACATTGTTTGTGAATGTTTACACTATATGGGAATATTGTGTTCCTTTGATTCTATTTCTGCTATGCAGATAGATATATTTCAAGATAATACTTTTTATAAAAATAATAAATATATTTGTAAACAACTTAAAACATCTCAATTTTTACTTTTTTTTTGTTGTTGGGGGATTCATACACTCGGAGACCTGAATGGAAGTGCTTTTTTTCAATACAAACAAACAAACATTCACACAAAAAAAAGTTGATTAATTTTTAGAATTAAACTATGTAGGCAAGAACCTTTCTCTCAATATTGTTATTACTTTTTATATAAACAACCTAGACCAAACCACATACAACAAAACAAAAATTAATTAAACAAACTAAATAAAGGCCAGATGACATTTCAAACGATATTGAAGTGCTTATACGCACTATAGGCGAGAAGTTTCCTACATACAAGCTGAACCTCACCCTTGTCTAACAAGATTCAAGATTCATATCTTAGCTTAATCCATGCCCATGAAACCTGCCTTTTTCTTAGAATCTGACATGTCATGTTCAAGCTATGATATATTTTACTAGATTACGGGCTTAGTGTACCTGAATTCCTGAAATGACACATAGACAGGGATTTATAGGAAGTTTAGGCCAGACGTTCTGTAGTGAACCAGGCTGATTAATCTGGGTAGTAGCGTGGTTGAGGGGCGGAGCTGTGGTGACCGTAAACTGCTTATGGCCCAGACAGACATTTACAAGAAATGAAGTGGGTTGTGAGGACTGATGGAGTGTGACAGGGAGGAGCCTGTGATCTCCAGAGACACTCGTACATGGTATCAGTAAAACTCTGCGACACATCTGACAGGCTTACGCAGAAAAATGACTAAAAACAAAACAATACTTGGCATCAGGGGTTCACGTAAACTTTAGATCACTGCTTGAAATTCCATTCGAGGCTGAAGGAAGTGATCCGCACTGCGCAGTCGTCAGATAAGACTAGGACCAGATGTTGTAACACTCTGTATCAGACCTTATTCTGAATCATTATCCTCAATAGAACAATGGCAATTAGCTGTTTTCTGGCTAAATGGAGAGATTCGAATCAATCATTAGCAAAACAGTGGATGAAAACATGTATAAAAGAAGAAAGCTTAATTACAAGTAAGCTTATCTTAAGGGGGAAAAAAAACTTCCTGATTCGAATGAATTTATGTTATCATATTGTGGAAGTTAGGGGGAAATCATTCGATGCGCCGGTTGGCTAATTTATCAAGGGATTTCCCTTCACCACTCTCAAAACAGATTATTGATTAATTTTGTACATTTAATTCACATGTGAATCTGACACAAACTATTTCGATAGGTCCTGAGGTTGACTGCGTGAATTGGTCGATGCGGTACAGGGTAATCAGCCTATCTTCCCTCACTCACCTGTACTGATTAATACACATGAAAGCGCATAGTCACTTCCAGGAAAAGAGGCAGTTGTGTTTCCCTGAAGAGCCCCTAATCTCCACTGCATCTGGCCTCAACTTACACAAACATGCATATGTACACACTCCCGAGCAGTGCATTTCCTTTTGGAACCACAACGCTCCCCTCCAAAACGCAGACACTGACAGATACACACACACAAGCCTGTGTGGGAAATCTGTTCATAGAAACGGCCCTGGTTTGAGCTTTGAGTGCTCAACCTCAACCTATCCATGCAGAAAATTGGAACTCTCAAAGACTTCGTAGTCAAATAAAATAAATTAAAATAATAATAAACAAACATTTTCTTTGGCTTAATTGATTTCTGAATTAAAAGGCATTAAGTAGCTATCTTTACACACTACACCAAAATGTACTCATTGACTAGATGTTGCGCTGGAAACTCGTTACCCACGATCAAACTTTTTAAAATCTATTTATGGTTATGATGCTGAAGCCCCCTGGGAGTGTTTTTTGTCAAGTGACAATGTTTCGGACCACAAAGCTATATTCCAGGAAGGCAAGTGATATGACTACCCACATAATGGTTACTATGACAACACTCATCTCTTGCCATCCCACATCAAGGTAGAAGGTCCCCATGGCCTCCACTGAGAATATGTGGGCAGGACTTCCAATTCACTGATTCACAAAGATAAACGTTTTTCACACTAACAGAACACAAAGACCACCTTTCTGGGTTTTTCACATGTAAGGTCCTTATGAGGGGCTTACGGCCCCATAGGGTCTCCGTGGAGGTACTGCAGGGGGTCCAATAACACGTTTTTGACCTGATTTTGGTGTAAAAAAAAAAAAGCGTGCATTAAACAAAATACAACATTAAAGGGATAGTTCACCCAAAAATGAAAATGTTATGTTTATCTGCTTACCCCCAGGGCATCCAAGATGTAGGTGACTTTGTTTCTTCAGTAGGACACAAATTATGATTTTTAAGTCCAGCCATTGCAGTCTATCAGTCGTAATAAACATAACATTTTCATTTTTGGGTGAACTATCCCTTTAAGTCAACTTGAACCAAATTTAAATGTTTAATTTTTTCATGCAATATTAAAATTTAGTAGTTAAAATTAAAATATACAAGTATACAACTCTACCCATCAATAAGGATAATTTTAATGGCTTTGCAATGTATCGCCTGCAACAATCTCACCATCTCATCTATTTACAGTGAAATACAAGGTGCTGTATTGTGGCAGGTCATATGTGGCTCTTCTCAAGTAAATGTCATGTAATTCACACAAGCTAGTAAGTCTGAGTTCTTTAGAAATATCACCCCTGTAATGCAGCTTTCAGCAGAAGGCATGAGACACTATCAGCATGGGCTCCTGGAACGAGACCTCTAGAGAACACGCCAATGAGACTCTCATGAGACCATCTGCGCACAGCTTTCAATCAGCTTCATATCAACCTGTTTCTCAGACCAGAGGAACCATACTGAAGATAAAGGACGTGTCTGTTCATTTAACAGATGCTTTTTTTTCCAAACAGACATATTTGAGACGGCCATCACAGCCTAAATTTTCACAGAAATGCTTATTGATATTGAATTGAAAGCAGTTTATGACCTATTACTGCATGACATTTATTTTCAGTCGAGGAGGATCTGCTGATAAGCAGAAGTGGGACGTAGATGGTTGCTTTTTGTTCGTTATTGTAAATTTCCTTGCTTAAAAACCTGTTCAAATGAAGGAATTGTAGGAAGTGAGGCTGGGGGTCAATTTAATGTTAAGTCTCTGGGAAAACACAGAGCAAATAAATAAACAGAAATTGCATTTTTCTCAGTATCGCACAGATCCATCACTGGTTTCTGGACAAGCAAAAAAAAAAAGAATTCCCTTCCATATGGGAGTGTTTAACATACAATTGCATGGAAAATCGACTGAGAGAAATAACTTCCGAATAAGCAGTCCACTTTGCACAGTAAGAAAGAAAATCACCTCAAATTTAATTTTTATATTTGCAGTTTCCCCTCCCACAGGAATGTGGCTTTGTCATCACAGTATTAAAATACACATTAGTTACAAAAATGGTCCTTATATACATATATTGTTTTTTTTTTAACCAATCACAAGCAGAACTGGATTCCAGAGTTCCCCTTAATCATCAAGAGACCCAAACACTGAGAAACCCACCTATTCTAGGAAACGATGACTATCGGGAATTAAATAGGCTTGCTGATATTTCACCAGAACAGAAATTTGCAAATGTATTTTGACAGATTAACTATATATAAACAAACAGTGTGAGAGGAAAGATTTTATGGCAGATTAATGTTTAATCTGCCATAAATGGGGAAGTCGTGGCCTAATGGTTAGAGAGTCGGACTCGTAACCCAAAGGTTGTGGGTTCGAGTCTCGTACCGGCAGGGATTGTAGGTGGAGGAGTGAATGTACAGCGCTCTCTCACCTTCAATACCACGACTGAGGTGAGACCCTTGAGCAAGGCACCGAACCCCCAACTGCTCCCTGGGCGCCGCAGCATAAATGGCTGCCCACTGCTCCGGGTGTGTTCACGGTGTGTGTGTGTGTTCACTGCTGTGTGTGTGCACTTTGGATGGGTTAAATGCAGAGCACTAATTCCAAGTATGGGTCACCATACTTGGCCACATGTCACATCACTTTCACTTTAATGAGACGCTGCTTCATTATAAAACTCATTTAAAAGATGAAAAAAAGGTAAGACGACCAAAATGTACATCAGAATAATTTATTGCAAGACTTTTATAGCTCCAGTAGGTAAATTATTTATAACATTAGTTCAAAACAAATCTTTACACTGTGTACAAACTATGAAGTAAACCCCCCCCCCGGACAATGAATTTAACCTCAAAATACGAATATATGCAGAATTAATCATATTGCTTTAAAGGTAATATTTTACGAACTCCGCCGATAAAGCTTAAAGCGGAGTGCTTTTCTTTGGAAAGAAAAGCGCCGGGTCACGGTTACCACATATTTGCATCTGTGCCACACCGCAAGAGTGTGTGGATCCCTTCTATGTGCTACAGTCTATAAACCGAAAATTAATTTTCCATTTCAGTCCATTAGTGACGGTAGTCCAACTACTTGAATCTGTAAGTGAAATAAATGAGTCTTGAATAACTGTTATTGCACACCAAAGTAAAACGAAACCACAAATACATCACACCCAGCTTTGATTACGTGTGTCCAGCACAAGCTCTTGACCTCTGGAATATTAAGTGTTAAAGAATGTTAAAACACACCTAAAAATATGGGTAAGTTGCCTCAGCTTTAAAAAGCAAAGAGACCACTTTAGTGGTACTTAAAGCAGTAACTACGTGAATGAAAACAGGTATATTCATCCTGTGTGTCGGCAGATTTCAAAATGTTCCAGAAAGAAAACGAATGCGTGCAGGTACGGCAGTGACATAAACGCTTAGGAATGAAACTCGATGACATCAGGTTTGTTCACCTGATGAAAAAACGTGACTGATATAAGTGAGTCAGTGCTTTTTATACAAAAAGGCTTGATGGGAGCAAGAGTTCATGAGTTGAATGATCTTAAATGAAGTGATGAATTAAAACGGGTTACTTTAAGCTCATATCTGTTCCTTACAATCTCCAAAGAATGACACAAAAGGGCATTTTTCAAAACGCTGAAGTGAAAATGAATGTTCAGCCAAAACTAAATATACCTTCAGAAAAGAGCACCGCTGGATAGACCCAGAAGTCTTTGTACATTCCTCAGTGTTAAGACTGATAAAATCAAGCGGGCTTTCCCCACTAACCCACTACAGATTTATACAAACATGCCCTCTCCTCTCCATCTGCTCAGTATCATAAAACCATTCACGCACACACTCTAACATTTGCACACAATCACAAAACAGTCACACATGCAGAGAAACAGCTGGATCACCTCAGCACCAGAGCAGAAAGAATAACGCACGACAGAAAAAAGACTGTGCTTTAAGCAGCACTCGTGACACAATAATGTCATTGTTCTAAGAGTGCCATTTTCCTCTGAAATGCATCATGGTCTTGATGTAAGGAGAAGTACTGGTAACCGCTGTATTGACACAGTCGGCAAATACACAAAGATACAATTGAGGGCCTGAATCACCAAAGCTGAAAGTATGTGCAAACTAGCTTAACTAGCTTGTGCAAAACCAGAATCGGTCATGCTCACATTGAGTAATCAACATTAACATGCGTTTCTTGCTTTTGTAACCTGGTCCTAATTTTTTCAGTACATTTAAGTTTTTAATTTTAGTAGCACTAGACATTTCAGTCTATCGCCGTCTCCTCCTCCAGGTCTGGGTTGTCCTCTTGGTCGGCCGTGACGCCTATAGAGTCTGTCTCGGGCTGAGTCACAGGTTCCTCCCTCTGAATCTGTGTCAAATCCTCAGTTTCCACACTAAGTAATGGCCTAGACTCAGGAGATGGCTCATCTTCCTCTGGAATGATCGGAATATCCTTCCTGTCGTCTTGAGACTGTGAGTCCGTTGCTCCCGTGTCGTCGTCTTCCTTTCGGCCAGCAACCGCCGTCTCTTCTCCGTCTGCAGAGGCGTCATCCTGGACGGAGGACTGGGTGCTAAAGGAGCGCAGGCGAGGCGGGTCAGCGGGGGGCAACAGGGTCAGGGAGTCCACGCTCAGTGTTTCAGCATCATTGTCAGACAGTAGGGAGATGGTGGGTTGCGGTGCAGGGGTGAGGCTAGGCGCCAGGGTGAGTCCTGAAACAGGGAGTGCAGGACCAGTTAGTTTCCCGCACATGCCTCTCCTGACTTGTGGAGAAGGGGGTGGGAATTACACACATGCAGAAAACATCCATTCACTCTGAACATTCAAATCAGACAAAGGAAGAACTGCACCCAGTGTTGAGGAGGAGAATGTCAGCTTTGTTAGGCTGTCTGTAATGCGTGTATGCTTGTGTGTGCTGTGACACAAATGTGTGAGTTTGCTGAGATGTTTGGTATACAGATAAGGATGGATTAATAGATGGCTAGATACAGATAGATAGGTAGACAGATAAGGCAGATAGATAGACTGTTAGATAGACAGACTGTTAGATAGATATATGGAGAGATAGATAAATGGATGGTTGGATGGATTGGTATATTGCTAGATACTTAGGCAGGTAGACATATAGACAGAAAGCTAGATAGACATACAGTGAAAAATGGATAGATAGATAGATAGATAGACAGACAGACAGACAGACAGACAGACAGATAAGGTAGGTAGAATAGATAAAGTAATCATAGACAATGTGAGGGGTGTAAATAACAGAATTCATGCCACAAGTTAAGAATTGCTGATGGGTTAAGCCTAGGAGGAAAGTGAGTCAGACCGGTGTAAAGTCTCTCTGTTAAGAAGCTCTTTGCTAAGAATACAAATATGAATGTAAATGGAGGAACATGAATGGCAGAGAGCCATGGAAGTGAACGGATGAAGACAAAAAAGGGTGAAGCAGAAAAACAGGATACAGTGCTTTCTCATTCTGGGGTGGCATTAATTCACAGAGCCTTTGGATTTCATCAGCTAAGCCACGCTTGCTAACATCATGCACTTTAAAGAGAGGTGTCACAGTTTCTACAATGATGTTTGTATTTATAAATACTGATCACTTCACTATTCACTTTAAATTAATACATTCCAAAGCTTAAATTGGCTAATTTTATTGCTCTTTATTGATTAATTGCAACTTAAGACTCATATAGACATGAAATGAATAAATCAGCTATTCTTGGTTCATCAACTAATCTCAATCATTTCCTGCAGACAGACAGACAGATAAGGTAGGTAGGTAGAATAGATAAAGTAATCATAGACAATGTGAGGGGTGTAAATAACAGAATTCATGCCACAAGTTAAGAATTGCTGATGGGTTAAGCCTAGGAGGAAAGTGAGTCAGACCGGTGTAAAGTCTCTCTGTTAAGAAGCTCTTTGCTAAGAATACAAATATGAATGTAAATGGAGGAACATGAATGGCAGAGAGCCATGGAAGTGAACGGATGAAGACAAAAAAGGGTGAAGCAGAAAAACAGGATACAGTGCTTTCTCATTCTGGGGTGGCATTAATTCACAGAGCCTTTGGATTTCATCAGCTAAGCCACGCTTGCTAACATCATGCACTTTAAAGAGAGGTGTCACAGTTTCTACAATGATGTTTGTATTTATAAATACTGATCACTTCACTATTCACTTTAAATTAATACATTCCAAAGCTTAAATTGGCTAATTTTATTGCTCTTTATTGATTAATTGCAACTTAAGACTCATATAGACATGAAATGAATAAATCAGCTATTCTTGGTTCATCAACTAATCTCAATCATTTCCTGACCGGTTGCATTATATCAGGCTTACCAAGTGTGCGCACACGCACGCACGCATGCAGTGGTGCATGTTTATTATTTTCATGAACTACAAAGAAAACACTTTCTTCAAATTTGGAATTATACGAACTCATGAATTGTGCACTATAGCGTAAATTAGTGTCCAACCACTTTTTCAGCTGCACTGAGTTTTGTTTCCATTCATTTTTCCCATAGGGATTTTAAAAGAGTCTTTGTTTAAGTGTTATAAGCCATGATCCAAACCAATCACACATTACAAACTTTTATTTGAAGCAAAGAACTACAAAGCCATGAAGCACTGCAAATGACAATCTAATTAAAAACTATGCAGAAATATAAGTGAGATTCTCTGATTGGTGGAATTTTCTGGACAGCATTATGGGTAATGTAGTTTTTAACCACAAATTCAACTGTTAAAAAATTATTTTAAAAATAAGTTCAAATAATGCAAACAGATGGCTTCAATAAAAGCATATACAATCGATTCACAACTTGAAACTCAAAGTAGGTCTTTCTTTAAAGGCTTATACGTTTTTACTTCTGGTACCCCACTGTTGCACTCTATAAGACCAGTAATGTGCTTTAAGAAAGTTGGATTTCCTGTTGACTTTAACTCTATGCAGGTCGAATACATGCAACCACTATGTGGCACATGACTGTTATGACAGAGACCGAGGGGAGAAATGGTTGCCTGTCTCACCACAAATCCACACCTTCAAAACAATATGTCATCTGCTACCGCTGCTGTTTCTAAGAAATTCTCTACAATTATGTGCCGCCCCAAGAGGCATTAACTAACAATAAATGTGGCCAGCTCACACTGCTGCACTCAGGTGTTTGTGACAGTGCCCTTATTCAAACAACTTATTCAAAAAGTGACTTCAGAAGACTCTTTGTCCAAAAAAGAGATCAAAGACATTATTAAATGATATGGGCAGTTTCACTTCAGACAACTCCAAAAGGTCACTGTATTTCAAAATAGATCATCATAGTGATTCAGAGAACAGAAGGAAAAGCGATACATAATGAAAGAAATGAAAAAAGCCCATGACTGTATTAGTTAAACGCCCCCGCCACAAAACAGAAATCTGTAGGAGACTTCACAGAGGCCACAAGACTCCACTCCTCTCTTCAGAGAATCAGCCACCAGATTGGTTCCTGGGCTCTTGTGGTGTGAAGACTTTATGAGCTTTCAGGTTTTTCCAAAACCACACCTGACCACCATTGATCTGCTGACAGATGCAGTGTAGGAGGCAGAGATATATAGAGCAGCCATAGGCTATACAGACCTTTAGATGTGAACAAAGTCCCTCAGGGGCTCTTGTTCTACCCAGCAATCAATTCCTAAGAGGCCCTTTGGGGGAATAGTTAGCTAGTAGTCATAAAATAGTCTTCCATTTAAACATCTACTTGACCACAGCTTACCAGGAATTTGGGTCTTGTTAAATGTGACTAAACTGGCTGTCTGGCAAGTGCTCAAATGGATGAAGTCAACATGAAATTTCATGAACACACAACCATGTTTACATGCACTTGAAGAATTAAAAAACGAATTAGATTGTATGAGCTGTGAGGCTTTGAGCTTATAGTAAAAGAAACATGGTCTTAACACACCAAGAATGATAACTATAAAGATAACTACATTAGTGTCCACACCAACAGATGATCTGCTGCTCTAAATGCTTGTGCTCTTTAAAGTTGAGTAAATTCTGATTGCCTGTCAACTTTTTTTTTGTTATTGTTCATCAGCTGCAAAAAAAAAAAAAAAAAAAGATTCCAACGATTTTGTTTCTGTGTCATTACTGTTATAGCTGTGGAGTGGACTTCCCTATTCTCATAGAATTAGAAGGATTATCAAAATGTTATATGTACAGTATAGTTATTGTAATAGTTATCGCCCCTGGTGTGTATGGGTCTTTAATCTTTAATCATAAACTACAGCTACAATACTGCAGCAGCAGTTCATAATCTGCATTTATAGGGTTGCGACAATAAAACTGACACTGTGAAAGTGGGACTGTGATATTGGCAGGATCCAAAATTAACACTCGCCAAGTGCTAAATGAAAACGTGTATAAATTGGCTTAGGAGATTTAATAAAAAGGTGTTGTATGTAAAGCAAACAGTAAAGGATGCACTGGCAATGCCAAAGTCATGGGTTTGATTCTCAGGGAATGCATGAACTGCTAAAATGTATATCTTGAATGCAATGCCAGTTGCTCCAGATAAAAGTATTTTCCAAATGCATAAATGTAAATCACAATGCAATTATTGATAAAACTTCTGATCTTATTCCAGATCTGTGGAAATGCATACTTAGTGGTAAAAACACAGATATAAAAATATAGGGAACAATGACCTGCATTGTTTGTTGAAAATATACAAATGAATATGAAAGAAAAAAAAAAATTCATGGGCAGCAAAAAAACCCCCCATCTCATTAAAAGAAAATGAGTCTTTGACAAGTGTGGCAAACAAATTAATTTTGGACCCTGAATATCACATTGTCTGATCTACTGTGAAAAAAAACATAAATGATTTGCAAAGAATATGTAGCAGCACGTATGAAGTGTTTTGGTATTTCAGTGAAAGCAGTTCATAGTAAAAGAGAGTGGTTAAGTAAAAGTAGAGAAGGGAGTGGCACATGTGAGAGTGTGCGTGTTACCTGTTTGACTCTGTGTGACGGTGTATGCGGATGAGCTGCTGGTTGTGACAGAGTCAGAGGGGCCGGTGGGGCCACAAGAGGTGGGTGAGGTGGAGGCGGCTGATGTGGGGTTGTGCTGGGCAACGTGAGCAACTGCAAAACCTGGAATGCAAACACACAGGCACATGCAAATTGCTTAGACACTGACAGACCTGGTATCACTGAATGTCCTGGCATACTTTCTGTATCAAACTTAATTACTATTGATACAATACCAGCGACACTTGTGACGTTAAGGGGTCAGAGCAAACAAAGCATGTAATTAAAAAGGGAATTTTATTTTGCCAACGCATTTCGGCACACAGGCCTTCTTTAGCCCTGACGAAGGCCTATGTGCTGAAACGCATTGGCAAAATAAAATTCCCTTTTTAATTACATTCTTTGTTTGCTCTGACCCCTTAACGTCACAAGTGTCGCTGGTATTGTATCATTAATAATTTTTCTTCCCACGCACCTTGTTGATTGTGTGAACTTGCACCAGAACAATCATACAACCTATTCAAACTTAATTACTGACAAAAACAAGCTGGAACTGCGGCTTAGCTATTACAAAAAGTGCAGGTCTGAGTCTGGCCATTACCCCTCTCTAATCAATAATGACCCACCTCCACCGTATTAGAAAATAATAATATAATAATAATAAAACACCTTTACTTGCAGATTATTGAAACACTAATTCATCACATTACTATATTTTGGTACAAATAACCTTAATTACCAAATTACTTTAATGTGATCCAATGAGAGGCAATGAACAGACCAGGCTTTTCAAAACACTTGGCATCAAACCAAGAGTTCTGGGAACCACAAGCTCTTTTACCTGAACCAACGACACGTCATCAAAAGGGACTGAGAGAGAGCTATTAGTCATCCATTTCCCTATACAGAGAACTCACTTTTGTGAAATTAAGAACCAACACAATCCTACCCAAATCTGAAAGTGTCGATACATTTTGTAAATACTGAGAGATTTGATGGTATTGCCCACTCTTCTTTGCAGAACTGCTCAAGTTCAGTTAAATTTGATGGTGAGCGTTTGTGGACTGCAGTCTTCAAGTCATTCCACAGATTTTCAGTGGGGTTTAAGTCTGGGCTCTGACTAGGCCATGCAAGGACATTCGCCTTTTTCTCCTTTAGCCACTGTGTGCTCAGTTTTGCTGTGCTTTGGGTCATTGTCATGTTGGAAGGTAAACCTTCTTCTCATTGACAACTTTCTGGCAGAGGGCAGCAGATTTTCCTCAATAATTTGATGGTATTTTGCCCCATCCATTTTTCCTTCTATCCTGACAAGTGCTCCAGTCCCTGCTGCAGAGAAACACCACCAGAACAGGATATTCCCACCTCCATGCTTTACAGTAGGAATGCTGTTATTTGGATGGTGAGCTGTATTGGATTTCTGCCAGACATATTGTTTGGTGTTGAGGCCAAATAATTACATTTTAGTCTCATCTGCCTCAGAATCTTCAAGGTGTGTTTTGGCAAAGCTCAGTCTTGACTGCATGTGGCCTTTCTTGAGGAGTGGCTTTTTTCTTGCAACCCTCCCATTCAAGCCACATTTGTGGAAAATTTGTGATATTTGTGACAACGACCACTCTTTGTCATAAATTCCTGCTTCAGAGTTGCTGTAGGCCTTTTGGTCGCCTCTCTGATCAGTTTCCTCCTGGCTCTTTCATTCAGTTTGGCGCGACGTCCTGATCCAGGGAGGATCTGTGTTTTACCAAATACCTTCCACTTCTTAATAATAGACTTCAGTGTGCTTGTAGGCATTGATAAAGCCTTTTACATTTTTTGTGTCCATCTCCTGACTTGTGCCTGTCCACCCATAGTTGATTGTTTGCATCAGTTGCACTACCAAGGACTGAAATGCTCCAGGAATGCTAAGCTAATCAAAATGACCCCAGCTGATCACAGTTGAAAGTCAAATGAATTTGTGTGCCATTGAGAAGGTGATTAGCTACACCTGACTGAGTTTACAAGTCATTTTTAGGAGGGGGGTGATCCTGGCTGCATCGGAAAGCCTAGGCAACTGACTTGCTGCCTCGCTGCTCTATCAGGCAGACTTTGCAGGCAGTGTTTTTGCACGAAGGCACCTCATGAAACAGGCAGCGTAACGGTTTAATGATCTACAACAAAATAGAACGAGTTTTGGTGTTAACTAAACAAATATTTAATTACCATAATACTGATTTCTCGCTAGAACTAACATCAAAAGTGCAAAAAGTTAGTCAGAAATATACATTTACACACAAACCAAATGCAACTTTCAGACGCAAATCTTTATTTTTTAGCTCAACCATCACAGAATGGAATGCACAGGATATCAAAGGCAGCGAAGGATACATCTATGCTACCTTCAAAAATCAATCAGATGAAGGTATCTCAAGAGACAGGAAGTGAAGCTAACTTTGGATTCGGACGTGCCTTGATGCCTTCCTACCTTGGAATGCGTCCTCCGAAAGCAGCATTTTAGAGCTTTCGGACACAGCACCTTTTTCCAACTCTGTGATTCTGTTTTTTATTTTTAGGGGTTCAAGCACGTAGTGCTGAAACCCTATTGTAATTGTAAGGATTTTTATTATTATTATCCTTCTCTGCTAAAACTGATCGTGTAGACCAAACTGTAAGGCCTAGAGAGCTGAAACTTGGCCAGATGGTAGAGCTCAAGAAGGGGAGAGACTGGCAAAGACTCACCCCAATCGGACCAGAGGGAGCACTACAGCGCAAAAAAACGAAAATTTCATACATTTTTGGCCATAGCTCCGAGCCCGTTTGTCGTAGACTCAAAAATTTTATTCCGTTTTATTTAATCCTTGGGTCAAAACGAACAAAACTGCTTACTGACGGATTTTCTCTATGAAGTCCGATTTTTCCTCAAATTGAGTTAAGTCCAGAACCTACTTTTGCGAACTCCTCATAGGCCGTTTGTCCGATTCGCTCAAAACATGTACCATCTAGAGACAGTAACGACAAAAAGTTATCAAAAGAATTTCAATCGGTGATTCACAAGTGAAACAGGAAGCTAAAACGTTTGAAATAGGTGTAGCCCCTTTTACTAAAATGGCTATAACTCCTGAACGGAATGAGATATCTTCACTAAACTTGGTGTCTACATGTGTATGAGCTCAATCTTTGGTCAAATGAAAAAAGTTGCGGAGCTTGGCCACTTGGTGGTGCTATAAGACGAAGTGTCTTTGTCCAAGGTGTCAGAAGGGTCTACGAGGACATTCGCGTATCTCAAAAAACATGGCCGCCATTAGCCAATGAAGTTTAAGCACCTACTAGACAAGGTTAACGGAGGCTGATCAGAACGAAACTCAGTGAGCATATTCGACTCATGGCCCTAAAGGTCTGTAAGAATTCTGAAAGAAACCAGCCACTAGTTGGCACTAACAAGCTTTATGGCTCTGTAATCATGTGTTGTTTCACACATCCACACAATATGCATATCATTTGATAGATCTCCTCATACTGAGCAACTTTGCCTCAAGAACCATTGCTGTCAACCAAATCATTCATTAAATATTAACAATTATGTTAAAAACCTACTTTTGCGAACTAGTCCTAGGTTTTTCAATTTCAATCAAACCACTGCAGAACAATTCTCTGGACTCTCTAGATCAATAATTATCAAAAAAAAAATTTTTTGTCCTTTGGTTAGCTATAATGGGGTCATTTAGAAAAGGGGCATGGCCAAATATACCCAAAAGTCTATAAAATCTAAACAAAAACTCAAAACTTCACGAAACTTAGTGAGCACATGCGACAGATGATTCTCAACAAGCATGCAAAGTTTCATGGAGATCGGACCATAGGTGGTGCTATAACAGTTAAAAAGGCTTCAAAAACACAATATTTCTATGGTAAATGACCTCAAGTTGCACATACAATTTTCATATATTCACACATACACTAAATTTTCATATCATATGATAGATCTGCTCATTCTGAACAATTTTTGTCTCTAGGACCACTGCTGTCAATCAAATTGTTCTTTAAATATTTGAGATGATTTAATAAACCTACTTTTGCAAACTAGTCCTTGGTTTTTAACTCAAAATATAAAATCAGTGCATTACAATTCTCTGGAGTCTGTAGGTTAATAATTATCAAAGCAATGTTGAACTTTTGCATTTGGACTGTTATAACAGGGCCATTTAATAATATGGTCTTTACCTACTGCACCCAAAGGCCTATAAATTCTAAAAGAAAACTTAAAACTCCACAAAACTAAGTTAACTCATGCATCATATGATTCTAAACAAGCATGCAAACTTGTATGGAGATTGGACAAAAATTGGCACTATAATGGTTATAAAGGATGAAAGCAGTATATCTCTAAGTTAAACTCCATGAAATTGCAATTCTAACCACTAGATGGCAGCAGAGGACCACTAATGGGCTCATTCAACTCACTAATATAGTACTTTTCACAGGTGTTGCTTTTGGATTCATATTTACACATTATGAAATCACTGTTACAACATTTAAGATCACATTTTGTCTCAGTTTACTACTTCATTTACATTGAGAAATCATATTTTGCATTTAAACCACATTATTTCAGTGAGACTTGAAAATTGTGTTATGAAGAGAAGACTTGCAGTAAGCATTTTGTTACCTATCATTTACTTAAAATCTCTATATCTACAACAAAATATGTTTGCGTGTGTGTGTTTGTCTGTGTCTAAGAATGCTTACTGTGTATATTAAGTATTATACTTTAACACTTTCATTTCAGATTGTGTAGGTATGTGTTGCAATATTCTTTATCGTGGATCTGTTGTGATGTCAGCCCAAAATTTTTGCAAGTCCTATTTCCTAACAGCTTAGATTCAATAAATCCCTTAAAGTGCTTGAACTTGCAGCTATATTTTATTTATTTATTTTTTCTGACATGTTGGTGTTATCATATATCTTTCACTAAGTAAACTTAGCTGGATAAAACAAAAACTGTGTCTGTCTTCATTTCAGGCTGCAAAGCAACAAAATGTGGGGTGATTCTTTTCTATACCCACTGTATGTATGTATATGCTTTACTAATAAGCAGTAAAATGCATGCTAGTTAACAGTGAGAATATTATGATATACTACAAGGTTGTGCATATATATATATATATATATATATATATATATATATATATGTAGTACTGCCTTTACAGTAATGAGAGAGAGAGAGACAAGAGTCAGTGGTTGCCCAAGTGTTCTTCTTTGTTGTCTGAGGATGCAGACCGCAGTTGTCACGGCAACTCTACTCTCTCAACTGCTTCCCAGAATTTGGAAAATGCAGCTGGACTGTTCAGTGCAAACTCATTATAACACATTAAAGTAATTTAAATTAAACTTAAATATACATTTAAATAGAAATAGACAAACACAGATACAAAACAAAATATATACAAATAATTTAAAAGTGACATATCATGAAAATCGGACTTTTCCAGGTTTTAAGTGCTATAATCAGGTCCCCGGTGCATCTGCCAACCAAGGAAACGTGAAAAAGATTAACCCAGTAACTTTGTTTTGGAAAGCCTTTTTCTGCAAGCCTCTGAAAAAAGGGCACATCTGATTTCGCTCCCTTGGTGACGTGGCAAAGGGATCTCATTATAATATTACCGCCCCTTAATCTGTAAATTTC